CCACCTTAGGTGTACGTGGCTGGCGCCTTAGCCGGTTGAGCTATAGGCTCCGAGCCTGTTACTCATTTTTGACAGTAAAATAGTTAGGGGTTTTTTTGGTCATATTTGTCATGTGGAATGTTAAGGAAAGAATGGTCAACCAAATATGTAGAAGAAAACTTTGGAGTTGCTTAGAGATAATGATATGTAAATTAAACCTCTGAAAGAAAGAAAAAAATTAATGCTTTATCAAAACTCATTTGTTCCACTGATTGCCTTGTTTATTAAGTGTGGTTCATTGCTAGTATAAGCTGTAGTATTCTGTTAGCATGGGACTATTTCATCATTGCTTTTGGTTAATAAGAGAAAAGTATGGAGATATGATTTGTTGGCAGCTTCAACCATTTTGTTGTAATGATTATGCAAAACATTGGCGATGACTGATTTTTCTTTTCTCTGTTTTTCAGGGCCGGCATGTTAAAACGGGTCAGTTGGCAGCCATCAAAGTTATGGATGTCACTGAGGTAAGGTTGGGTTACATGTGTTTTTAAAGAAATTGTTAGATAGAAATCGTTATTTAATAGAAGACAAAGATTCTTACCTCCCTCCTCTAATAATGATTGTAGAGTATTACTCTGTTTGGTAAATCTGATCATTTGAACAAATTGCCCTCCTGTGACTTTGTGAGTTCATAGGTGAAGCAGACTAGTTGGCTTAAATTGTTGCAGATAGTCTTCAAGTAACTAAGAGGCAGTAGCCTTTAGAGAGGCACACACACACACACACACACACACACACACACACGGATGTCATACTTGGCAACATAACAGACCATAATTGGAAACATCTTCTCTAATGGAAAAGAAAAAATTTGAAAAGGGATTGTGGGGGTCACATGAATAGAGAGATTGGGGGCGTGTAAAATGGGGAAAAGCTTCTCTAGGGTATTAGGCCACATTTGTGCCATTTCTTTTATTTTTAACATGGGGGAAGAAAACAGATCCAGCCAAGTTCCCAGAGGTTGGAAAACAGAAACATCTGCTAGAGTGCTGAGCAGATTGTTGGCAAAATTTAGTAGCAAAAAATTGTTCTTGAAATGGTCACAGGAGAATTTATTGTATAGCTTTAGATGGGAAAAAGGAGAACTTGACCCAGACCAAAAGCGTGTGTGTGTGTGTATGGATAAGTTCATATTTAAATTAGAAAAAATAGTCATCGAGTATGATAAACACATTTTTATTTTATCTGGAGCTTTACTTTGTTCTAACTTGCTTAATTATGAATGGGATTTTACATCATATTTCATAGATTCTAGAAAGAGTTAACTGGTCACCTTGGGGATTTGGGATAACTTAAAATTAAGCCATAATTTCTTCAAATCTGGGGCCTTTTGAGGGAAATAAAGGCTAACATGATGTCAGGTGTGTTATCCAGACAGCAAGAGAGATTTTAAGATTATTTTAAAGAGTAGTGGTGAGCAGTGAATTCTAGCTTACTGTAATTTAAATGCAGCAGTGGAGTTACTTATGAATTGTGCTCTCTGTGGATGGAATAATCAGCAGCACCTTCCTACCAAAGTCTCCATGCAGAAGGCTGGACATCTTGCCATTGCTGCATTGGGAGATAGTGTCGCTGGAGCACATGATCTTTGCACAGTTAGTAACACACTTCTTGATTTGTTGTCTGACAGACTTGTTGTCTGCCAAGGTACTTAGCCATTTAGGTACCATGTTAAATGTAATCTTGTGGAGTTTTGTGAACTGAGAGCTCAGTTTCTCTCCCTGTGGTGCATGCTCCCTCCCTGGACACAGCTGCTGTGGCCAACCAGGGCATGCTGCCTTTAGTCTCTCATGGAATCCTACTGGGCTTTGTCCTCTCTATACAGCAGTCCTTCACCTAAGCCTGGCTTTGATTATAAATATGCAACACATGATTACTGTAAAAAAAAATGGAGAGGGGTAAACCATAGGAGAATATAAAGAAAAAGTGAAATCCTTACGCCTTCATCACCTCACAATAGTTGTTGTTGGTGCTTTGTTAATGCTGTTTTTCATTCATGACTCTGAGGATAGCTGTAAAATACATGCCTATATGTATAATGCATGTTTTTATATTCCATTTTTGTTAATTTTATGAAAGGTATTTTCTTGCTTGAAAAAAATTAGGCAATGTTGGACAAATGCATGATAATTTAAAGGAGTACTTTCAGCACTCCTTTAAAAATAATTAATGCAAAACTCATATATTGAGGTTAAATGAAAACCAGATGGTGAGTCCATTAAAAAAATGCAAACCTAATCAACCATTTACTAGTAATGGTTCTGTGTGCTGTTTTCATGCAGTGACCTCTGCTGTAGTTTGGGGTATAGTCAGTACTCCCAGTGCAAGCACTGATTATGGGCAGAGGAACATGTGCAGCTGGCAGCCTGGAAAACACACCATCCCTACCTTCCATATCAAAGGCCTCAAGCTCTTACACAGTTCTGTAGGCATTGGCCTGTCTGGGATCCCGAGGCAAACAGGAATGGGCTCAGGAAAAGAAACTTTGCATCTGGTTTCAACTCCAGCAGGCAGGGCTGTTGGTGAGGTTCTCTTGATGAGAACAGGATTCTTTGTTCTCACTTTCATCTCAGGAGCAAAAAAGGTGCAAATGCTTGTAATTGGGAAAAATCACAGACTTGTCTTGATTCCTTTAGTGATTCAGGAGGTAGGCTACTAGTTACTCTTCAGCTCAGAATGCAAGAGGAGCAGCTGGTCTGGGAAGTTGGATGGTGAGGCTGCGTTTCTCCCTAAGCTGTTAACTGTTGGCAGCCTGAATGAATACAAGTCTGGAGCTGCTGCAGAGAATAAGAAGATATGGGGAAAGTGGGCCAGCTTCCCCTGCTGTACTTCGTTATTTGAATCTGGAAAACAAAACCAGCTAAGAATTCAGATTTCACTCCAGGGGTGAGGTGACTACAAAGCCAAGTGAGAGGTCTGGAAGGTAGGCATTTATTTGCAAGAGATGCAAAGATCTCTTTATTTTTTTGGACTTTAACAATATTAAGAATTGGCTATTTTTAGCATTTTGAAGCTCTCTTTTGAAGGGAAGCATATCTTTTATCTGTGATAGTTTTAGGCAGGATTTAAGGAACAGGTTCAGATATGTTCAAATTGGACAATACGAGGGCAGCCAATCTAGAAGGTATTTTTTGTTTTGTTTTAAAATAACTATAGATTGACAGGGATTTGCAGAAAAATGTATAAAATTTATAGGGCGGTCTCATGTTTTCCTCAGGATAAAATCTTACATTACTGTACTACAATGTCGTAACTGAAGCTCATACACAAAACAAGAAAGGCAAATGATCACTTTTGTAAGCTAAGTACTTGACCTGGACTCCAGTGTTGAATTCTAGTAAATTGGGCTATGCCATTACAGTCTGTCTACCTGTGTGACTTAGTGCCAAGGCAGACCATTAGGCACTATCAGTACAGTCCATGCAGCATAACTCAGATTTTTCCAGTTTAAGATGTACTTGTTTGTGTGTGGGGGGTGTGTGTGTGTGAGAGAGAGAGAGAGAGAGAGAATTTTGAGGGATACTTGAATTGATGGTTTGAATTCCTTTTTTTTTTTTAGAGACAGAGTCTCACTTTGTCACCCTTGGTAGTATGCCGTGGGGTCACAGCTCACAGAGCCTCCAGCTCTTGGGCTTAGATGATTCTCTTGCCTCAGACTCCTGAGTAGCTGGGACTGCAGGCCCAACCACAACGCCCAGCTATTTTTTTGTTGCAGTTTGGCCAGGGCCGGGTTTGAACCCGCCACCCTCAGTATGTGGGGCCGGCGCCCTACTCACTGAGCCACAGGTGCCACCTGATGGTTTGAATTCTTGATAGCCCCTTCATTTCAACCCTTGGGTCTTAATGTCAAACTTATATAAGAAACTATTACACATAAGGGATTGAGAGTTTGTTTCTTACAGTTTTGGGTTAATCCCATTTTGTTAACACTTTAGAAAGTAAAAAGATGAATTAGCTAGTGATTCTCAGCTTTGAGCCCATAAACTCAGGTAAGGTTTGTTTATTATAGAATTTTACTTTGCGTTTCAGTAATAACTGAACTTTTTCTTATGAAAATGTTTACATTTCCAGAACTATTGAAAGAATGAACACTTTCTATTCTTACAGTTAACAGTTAACATTTTGTTTGCACGTTATGTGTTGTTGAAGAAAGTAATCACAGGTACCACCATGACACTTCACCTGTAGTTGAGCATGCTTCTCTTAAAATAAAGATAATCTTCTCCATAATCATAATACCACTTAAGAACATTAATAATTCCAGAATTTCTCCCAGTGTTCAGTCTACATTCAATAAATCCTTGATTATGTCGAGAAAGTTTTTATAGCTTTATTTTGGAAACATAGTTCAGTTCAGGTTGGTGCATTATACTTGGGTATCATAACTCATTTTTAAGCTATAAAAATTTCCATTACCTCCTTGCATCCATTATTATTATTTTTTTAATTTAAAGAAATTGACTTTGGAAGTTTCTAGCCAATTATTTCATAAATAAACTATTCCACATTCTGGATTTATCTGATAGTTTCCTCATGTTACATTTGTTCCTCTCTGTATTTCTGTAAATTGGAAGTTAGGTTGAGAGGCTTGATTAGACACAGATTATTATTACTATTTTGCTAGAACACCTCGGTGGTGGTGTAAGGCACTTCATACTGTGTCACGTCAGAGGGCATATCAATGCTCCGTGAAGTATACATCACTAATAGCCTCTTGCTGTTAGTGAAGCCAAGTTGGATTGCTGAGAGGTGAGCCCCAGGTCTTCCACTGTAAAGGTGCATCACTGGCTTTGTGCTTCAGAGATAATCTTCAGGGGGAAACTTTGGCTCTATGTGAATATACTGTTCAATGACCGGTCAACTAATGGTTTTGGCATTTATTTGGTGATTCTTGCCTGGGTTAGTTGTTATTGCAAACTGATGATTCGAGATGATAGGCCACTTCAATGCCCACATTTGTGTTTGGTGTTGTTTTGGGCAAAATGAGGCTAAACATCTCTTGGGTTGATGCAAAAAGAACAAAGGCAAACTTAGTATGTGGTGTTTTATGGTAAACGGAGATGAAGTGGTGCTCAATGGAATGTTGTTTCACTGAAGTTCGTCACCGCAGAGTGGGAGAACTGCATCCAATCTAGTCTTCTGGCCCATCCAGAGGTCTTTCTAACTCTTGATCCTTTTTTCTGGGCAACTCTGGCATAGGATGCTATTAAAGCAGTGAATTCTCAAAATGTGGTTGTCCGACCAGCAGTTGCAGCAAGCACCAGAGAACTTGTTAGAAATGTGATGTCTTAGGTTCCAGCCCAGGTTATTGTATCAGAACTCTAGAATGCAGCCTGATGTGCCCTCAGGTTAGAAAACCCTTACCCTAATGGAACTTTAGTAGGAGAGGGGCCACTCTCTCCTATATGCAGGTAAAGAACTGCAGCTCAGGCACCGAGAAGTACCTTGCCAGGTAGACACTGCA